AAGCATTTCGTTTGCTGTTACAAATTATTTTACCGAATTACTTGAGTATATCGACTTAAAGGAAAACTAAAGGTGAAGCGATTTATTTCTTTGAATAAATGAAAAAAAAAATTAACAATATTTTAGTGTCAAAAGAAAAGTCTCTTTACTTACCATGATTGTAGAGTTTTCTTGGTTTTACACAAAATGTGAAAATAAAGTTTGAACCGTCAAGGTTTTATCCTCACGTAAAGCTGTAAAGTGCTCTGTGAGAAAAAAGGTAATGGCGTCCGCACCGGCCTCTCGCAATTTATACCTCATTGCCCTGGAAACACAAGACATACGGCGCATATTGATTGGTTAATTCAAATTCAGTTCACATTCGGAAGTGCAAGGTGTAGAAACATTTTCGTTAATCGCGAGTAGAAAGGTTTGAGGCATTCCGCATAATTTGACCAAGAGTTGTGATTTTACGTTCATTGAACTGGAAAATACCCGAGGGTATACGAACGGTTTTGACGACCATGTTATATTGATTGACGACCGTTAACTACAGTTTAAAGATCCCTGAGAATGAAATTCTTTTGTTAGATAGATTAAAAGTTTAAAGGGACAGAAAGTTTGTTGTATGCCCGCACTAAGTAACGCCGTCAATCCCGCGAAAATACCTGAGGCCCCGACAGGTAAATTCAAGAAAAATAGGCCTGACTCTTTAATTGCCCATTGTGCGACACGTCTAACACTGCATTACTGGGTTTAGATTATAACACAAATAATCAACAATCATGAATATAATTTAAAGATTCAAATAGATTAAGTATATGAGATTGTGCATGTTTTGAGGTGAATTTTTAACCGATCATTCGAATATAACTTACATAGTTACAATGTAATGACTGTGTGAAAAAGGATTTTCTGTCTTTAAATAAATGAATAATTCATTCGAATTTTAGGCGGAGTAAACCCATTTACTTTAATTGCACATGAAAAATATGTTTTAAAGAAAAAAATCATAAGGGTAAACGTTACAATGTATGTACATCTGGGTCTCACCAGGGGTCTTTAACGTTAAAAAAAGAACCCAAATATTATAACAAAAAATTACACTTTAAAAATTAAATATTAATTAATATGATTTCTTTGTGCCGCTGGTTAACATGAAGGTATAACACAGAATCCTTCTTTACTTTGACTTAATTTTGATGTACATGTAAAAACACCTCAACCAAGGGGCTTTGGGGAGGGGGCACCTGCTTTTTTTCATGGACATTAAATATTCTACCTCCACAAACAATGAGCTGTTGTAATTGCACGGTATCAGACATCCATATAATGTGTACAGTAGATTATTGTTCAATATTGTCAAGATGCTATAAAATCGTTTCATTAATACCTTAGTCCGCATTTATACATGTGTATGGCCTTATACATGAACGATTCTAGTATTCAGTTTAATTCTATACCTTTAAATCACAAGGCAATATATTTACTAGCTACAGATCGATTGATCAGACAAACCCATTCATTGATGTTTAAACTTGATTCGATTCTGGCGGGATCAGTTATTTCATTGACGGCTGTTGCTCGTACACTGTACATGTATAACGAACGTATCCATTTTCATGCAAATGGAACACTGACTAAAATTAACAGACTGTCACAAACTTAAAAGTGTATAATTCTTTGACAAGCAAAAAAAAAAAAAAAAAAGTGTTACTTTCAATTTCAATTTTTCTACACAAATTTTATTATACAATTATGTATTAATATTTTTCATGCATTAAAAATGGAACACTGACTAAAATTAAGGATGCTGGTATCTCTTTATTTATTCATTTTTTTATTGAAATCCATGCCAGTAGGGGGAGGGGATCTAAAAATAAAACCAAAAATATATTAACAAGGAAAGAAAAAAAATAAAAGTCTTACTCAAAAACCTATTTTAGGGGTGCTGGGTGGTAAGGTGTTTCAGCCACTGTATAAGTTTTTCTACCAGCAAGACAGGGATACATTTAAATAACTATGCAATTCCGGGGAGTTCCTTGTGCCCCCCCCTTTCCTCTCTAGACACAGATCTATCAAGAACACTGTAGACATATACTAAGAAGAATAACTCCTAAATCCTTTATGAACATATTTGTAGATGACATTACGTGCCCTTGATTTTATGATGTCTGAAATAAATATTTAAAAAATAAAAAAAATTAAACATCAATGAAAATTGCATATTTTTTTTACTTTGTGAAATGTGTGCATATTGAGAATATAAAACAGATATTAAAATTTAAAACAGTGATACGAGGTCGTAAACATTGGGGACCAGGCAAGATTTATCACAATGATGGAACCAGTACAAAACAAAATCCTCATTTAAAAAAAGTACGTGTCCCATGGCATTGGTATTTTAAAAAAATATCTGTCCCATGCCTTGAGACTTATAAAAAAGATATTTCCCATGGTTACATATTGGTGTTAGTGAGATAATGGAACAAAACTAAGGAGCCGATATTTCAAACATAGAAAAAAAATCTTTCTTTTTTTTCATCTGTTGTAATATTTTCCATTAAAAGATTTATGTTGCCATTTGTATCCTTCATTTCAGTTTCAAAGATATGATTTTTTTTCTTATTTTTTTTATAAATAAAATGAATATTATTTTCTCTGGGGTTATGTACTGTAAGTCATTGAAAAAAAAGTTTGTGTCCCATGGGTACTTATTGCTAAAATTGTTTTTGTCCCATGGTTTTCTTCGATGTAAAAACTCACTTCCCATGCCCGTTTGTACCGGTCCATCATTGTGATAAATTTTGCCTGGTCCCTGTATCATTGAAGAGAAATTCCTGTTGTTTACTTACATTGGCAAATTATGTTAACGTTTTCTATCTAAGTGTACAAATATTGTATACCGGCATATGAAATATATTTCAATAGTATTTGACATGGTGATAATCTGTGTTTTCATTTTACCAATGGCAAGGTATGTTGGGATAAATTTCAATTATCAACATTAAATTGTGTGAAACAGCAATTGAGAATGTGGAAAATTATAATTCACAATCTACAAATAAAGGTTTACATGTGTAAAGTGTTATAGAGTCGGAATATTGAATCCTCTGACTTCCAATACTGTCGAGGTTCTAAACTCGATGAATACAGTGTAAAGGGTGGGTCACCTCTATTACATGTTAAAACAAGCATCTTACTTGAAAATACTTGAAAATTGTTCCGTGTTTAAGATTCGATGTAATTTACAACCAATGAGTAAACTACAAAATTAATGAAAAATGTGTTTAGAAAGTTTAATATATAGATATAAAGAAACACGATGAAAAATGTAGAGATATATATCATCAAAAGACTTTTCTAAAGGAATTCACGTACATATGTTCACTTTTAAGTACATGTATTAACAGGGTATTTTCGTGTTATTAAACTTGAAGAAACTATAATCTTCCTGCGGATATCAATGATATAACTAAGTTAACAGCACAGAGTCAGAGGAAGATTACATATTATACACAATATGTTTTCATCATCCTGTGGTTTTCTATATTTTTGATCCAGTGTGAGACTAAACTGTGACTATATGAGACACATCCTACATGTACATGATGATTCAACGTGTAGTATTTCACTTCTCCCATATGAACCTCCATGATAGATTTAATTATTACATGTATGTCATATTACAATATACTTCAATACCATCTAACTGTAATCATATTGTAACAATTGAATATGCCCTTGATTGCATGATGAATAAACATAGATATAACTCTCTCTCTGATAATGATTTATAAAAAATGTAGAAATGCTGGCATTGCAACTAACCACACACCGAACTTCATCCCAACTCTAAATTATTATATTAAAAAGAATTGAGACAGAAGAGGGATTATAGGTAGGCATTAGCGGATCTAAAGGGGGTGGGGGTGCATTTTCAAAGTATGGCACGAATAATATTCATATTGCCATAGTTTGCATGGTTCTATAATAAATGGTAATTTTTTTAATTGAAATATATGCATTCCCTAAACTATGAATTATCATATTGTTTGTTTATTGTTTGTTTTTCTTTTAAAGATTAAAATATTACAGTGTGCACAGCTAACCAAAAGTTAAACCTCAATGATATATAACCCTCTCTCTGGGGGCCTTGATAATGATTTATAATCACAAATCCTGTATCCGCCAATGGTACGCGCGATGTGAGCCCAGTATTTTACGAGAAACCACACACTCGGACTTCTTTCTCTCTCTCTATAAATATCTCTGAATTAAATTGACAAAACCGGTAAGTTTTGGCAAGTATATGAAAAGCAAATCAAATATTTACTTCGTTTCCAGTTTTTCCCCCCAATTTTCTGAGTCGTCACATTCAAACGTTTGTATATAATCTCATTTGTTCCTTTATATTTTTATTGTTTTATCTTAGTAATAAACCCATTAAAAATAGAAAATGTCCCCCAGCTTAATATAAGGAAGACCCTTGTCTATAAATATATGCAATTATATAGCTAGTACAAGTACGCTGCCTGTTAAAGAAACATATTTAAAATACTATATCAACAGTTTAATCAACTAATTTTGGTGACAAAATACGGACATCTGCCACATCTTTAAAGGTAATGACCTTCAACTTTAAAGTATAACCTTTACTCAAGGTTATTTCTAAGACAACAGCCTTCAAACGTTAATACATGTGTATTCAAGAAAGGGGGAGAACCTAAAACAATTTGTCGAAATGAACAGTACTTAGATCTTTAGATAATGTAAACGATTTTTCGCTTTAATGTAGAGTCCTGTCAACCTATATGATGTTCTCTCCTCGGAAAATGAATGCGGAAACTGCCGCTGTATTTCATGTGACAGTCTATATATGTATACACGTTAAAAATATACATTGTGTAGGTGAACTATATCTTTTCAGTTTCCAATTTCCTTGAAAAAATGTAGACACAAACCTTCATAGATAAAAACAGTTTATAAAACTGTTTAGTAAAGATGGTTGCTATTAATTAGTAATCTTTACTTACAAATCGGAAGTTATTTCACTGAATGACTTATAAATGCGGAAATCGAACACTCATCACCGGATATTGAAAATAACTTCTTTTTAATCGAGAGGGAATTACAATGGCAACAAGGTTGATTGTTGTGAAACTAATGATATTTTTTAGATTTGTGTCTGGATTTAACATTGATGTAGAACAAGCACTGATTTACACGGAAACTGCCGGTTCGTACTTTGGGGCGACTACGGAATTGGTTTCCAATGCTCAGGGAAAATGGTAAAGTATTTTATCAATAAAAAACACGCTTCTTCCAAGCATAATGTTTCCCACTTAGTTGACGTTTCATGGATTTTAACAACCACGTTTTATAATTCGGTATTTCGCCCAACGGTCGTCATAAAATGTCCTTGTTTGTTAGCTAATGTTAATTTTCATTGCATTGTATTTTGACAGAACTGTTTTATACCTATAGTTGGGCCTTTGTTTTTATACTGAATTTATTTGACTACTGGATATTCCGTCGACCAGAGCAATATACATATAGGGCTCACGGTGGGTGTGACTGGTCAACAAGGGATGCTTACTCCTCCTAGGCACCTGAACCGTATTTCAAACCCGATTTTTTAAATTTAGAATTTTAAACAATCTGATTAAAATCAGATCCTTGATCCGCTCCTTTATTTTTCTTCAAGTTTAATAGCTACACATAGCGACCATAAAAAAAAAATAAAGGAGCGGATCGAGGATCTGATTTTAATCAGATTGGAATTTTAAATATCGATCACGTTTATTAATTAACTTTTGAACCACAGATTACATTATTTTGAATAAATGAATAACATGCATACCGGTACAAAATATTCAATAACATTCAAAACCTCGCGTCAGTTGTTCGTGGCTCAATCAAAAACCTATAGAGAGCTGATGAGGAAATTGAAATCCGACACAATACGGTAATATTTTTATGTATACACCTATACCTCAGGAATTATAATAATAAATAAGTAATAAACATTCCGCAAATTACCTTTATGTTACTCCTGAATGTATGATAACAGGGACGTAGCAACAGGGGGGCCAGGGGGAGCCTGCCCCCCCACTTTTTTTGCCAACAATACTTTTACTATTGAAAATGTTCATTGAAAGGCTGGTTGGCCCCCCACTTTATACTAAAGTAAAGTAATATGAAGAAAATATAGTATTGCAAGCTTAAGAAATGGATATTGAAAGGAATCAGTAGTGAAAAAAGTTTGCCTTAGATATTGAAAGGAATCGGTGGTGAAAAAAGTTTGCCTTTATCTGATCTGATCTGTGATATATATCTTTAACAACTGAATCATTATTTTTTAGAAAATAAAAATATATCTATGGGGTTCTCTCATGTTGATAAATACCACAGCCTCTCACTATTATGTAACAATCTTTTCCTTTGTACAAAGTGGATATAAGCAAAGCGTATGGATTAAGGCAATGTAGATAATGTGTTTGTCTGACAGATTCACCGCTAGCTATGAAGGGCTGAGCGCTTTCGATGATTGGTTACTTGCCCTGCTTTATCACAAGGAACCACTCTATCTAATCCAGTATTCTTTCCTTCAAAACATTAACGTATGTCCTCAAGTTAATAGTTTTGACTCAGATGAAAAGGAAAACATTACAAATTATCTGCCATATCTTCACTTTAAAATATCTGCATTGACAGATTGTTATCGGCCTTGGTTTTAATTTTAGTTTTAATGAATTTGACTACGGAATGCTCCTTTTACTTGATCAATAAATAAGGCTCACGGCGGATGTGACGTCAATAGGGGATTCTTACTTCTCCTAGGAATCAGGTCCCACCTCAGAAATTTTCATGGCAGGAGTCTGATTTTTTTTAATGCCTGCTTCACACTGTATCGTAAATGTATATGGATTTTTTTTATAATCAATATTGATTACATCGTTTGGGCTGTGGGAGGACGATACTCATATCGATACACATGTAGAAATATAGAAATATCGCCATTTTTTTAAAAAAAAATATATGCATTGAAGAATATAATGTATTTCAAGCCTGTCTATTAACCCTTGATTGAATATAGGCTATTAATTTGTATTGTATATTAATCAAAATTAATTATAAAAGTTAATGGATATTAAGAAATGTTAACGAAAACATGTGTCTTAAATGAGGAGAGCTCACTTCTCTACTTATTAAAATAAAGAATACTTACTTATACTTTAGTATAGTACATATAGATAATGAGTCAGTACTGATTTCATCGACTACATGTACTTAGTGGTCTTTTTGTATCACGAGGCTAGGCAGATGAATCGAAACTATAATACAAGTATTATATATTACCATAATTTTATAACCATATATAGTAAATAAAGTCGTTAAATTTGAAATTCATGTTTATTTAGATTTGAAAATCCATTAGGATTCTTTAAAAATGATATTATATTAAAAAAAAAAATCACAAATAATATTGCATGTAATATATTGAAAAAGTAGGTGCACAATGGCATTATGTAATAAAGATTCTGTGAAAGTTTCCTTTCCTTCAGTGTTATGAGAGGAGTTGCGGATAAGAGATGGGTACCCCCAAAGCGTAACAGACGGACGGACGGACATACCGATTACTATATACCCTCCCACTTTTCAAGCGGGGGGGGTATAAAAATTAATATTGCATGTAATTGAGTATAACATAGAAAAATTTCCCCACAAGAGAACCATGTTAAATATGCGAACACTTTTAATAATATGAATGCTTTTATTTTCTAATTTTCTACCTAGGATGCTGGTTGGTGCACCGAGACAGAATTACTCTAGCATTATCAAGCCTGGCGCCATATATCGTTGTGCAATTGACACGAGTTCAGCCACCAGGAACTGTACCATGATGAATATCAGGGCAGAACGTAGGTCAACCCCCCCTCCCCTTCCCTCCTCACTCAGTTAAATGTTAAATTTGTCAATTTTAGCTCGTCTTCACAAAAAGATTCATGTTAGCTTTATCGATCGGAGTCTTTTGTTTTTTGTTTTTGTTTTGTTTTTTAAAAACTTTTTTGTCTTGCTATGTAATCTTTTATGTTTTCGACCTCTATCGAAAATGTAATTAAAATATATGACAGTGTGATTTAAAAAATACTTTGATTATACAAATATATTTTTATAGATTTAAATTAATATTATTTATAGATTTACATTTAAAAAAAATATGTTACTAATGTTATTGTTACATTAATTTTAAGAGAGTGCATTCCCTTCTATCGAGTCTGAAGAAAACCAGGGCCTGGGTTTGAACATGCTGATAACTAACCAAAACCTAGTGGTATGTGTCTCATATTTCATATCTGTGTCAAAAAAATAAGCGTATGAGTATGTTTTATTTAGCAGTAAGGCTTGTTGTACCACTGCTCATAAACGTAAAATTTTTGCTTTAATGATTTTCCAAAAAAAAAAAAAAATCTGAATTACAATAAAAATTGCAAACAATTTCAGCCGTACAGGGCAAAATTTTACCAAAAATGAACTTTTAACTTGACAATTCTCGAGAGGAAAAATACTTGATATATCTCATTGAGAGTTACATCGCTTATCAGAGGGTCAGAGAATCTTAAGGAATTAAGATCTGTCATTTTTTATGTGTCCATGCATGAAAGTATGAGAATGATGTCCAATACACACACATGACAGCGACTATGTTTGACCAAAAGGTTAAGAATCTCGAAAACGATTTTTTCAACGTTTAATTCAAAATTAAATTAAGTTTTTTTTTTTTTTTTTTTTCTTTTTTTGCTCAAGGAAAATTAAGATTGTGGTTAGTACCGGTAAACGTTAGTTGGTATTTTGCTGAACACAGTATACATTTTAATCTCATCGCAGCGGAATTAGAGGGAATGTAGTAATGCGCTTGTCTGTGTGTGTGTGTGTGTGTGTGTGTGTGTGTGTGTGAGTGTGTGTGTGTGTGTGTGTGAGGGTGTGTGTGTGTGTGTTAGATTGTCCTGTGCAAAACGGAAGTAACAAAATTTGCATCGGGATTGATATGTAGATTGCTGCCTTGATTTATAGATATGCTTTTTGGGAGAAGATGCTCCACTTCATGGTGCCCCTGTACTGTTTTTGTTTAATTGTTTTTTTTTTTTCAGGCTTGTTCGCCGATGTGGAAGGAAGCAGTGGCAAACGATGTCTACTTTGCCTACGGCAAATGCAGTGACGTACCCCTGAACGGTCTTAACACGAATAATAACAAGTTATTTGCTGTAAACAGTAACCTCCGGTTTCTAAATAGTCGGATACATTATGTTGCGGCCGAATTCGGCTTCAGCAGCAGTATACGGGCAGGGGTAAGGAGGGAGCGGATCTCAATCAATTAGTATATAATAGTAATTAGTACAGTAAAGCACGCACTTCATTATTCAAGCAGGCGTATAGTAATTCATATAATACTTGAAGAATTAATTCATGCCTAAGCCGAATGATTAAAAATCGGTGAGTGTGTTCCTATTTGTCTCGGGTGTTGACGAATGGTAATAGTATGCATTCTTATTAACGAAAAAAAGTTGAGAAATACGTAGATTTAGGACCCTACATGTAAACGTATATTAACATGCTAGGAATAGGAAGTGGCGCACCGTGCATCCACTGTGCCATTTACAATTGTAATTATACTGACTGTGCGCAATGGTTTAAGCATTAAATTTTTTAAATTCTACTCATTCTATTTAGAATTAGACCCTTTGACTCTCCCGTATAGATTTGTGTAGTTCATTTATTCACTCAAAATCATTTAAAAAATATGGTACATGGGGACAATGAAAAATATTTACAGCATATAAGTTTAGGTCAGAGGTACAAGTATATGATATACATAATCAGAAAATAAAATGAGAGGGGGAAAAAGGAAAAGGAAAAATACATATTAATACATACAATAATGGAATAAATGGGGAAAAATTCAAGGAGGATCGACTAACCATATATTTTTAATATAAGTGTACAGAATGTTATTCAAAGGAGCTTCACTTGAATTTTTAGCTCACCTTAGCCGAAGGCTCATGTGAGCTTTTCTGATCAAAATTTGTCCGTTGTCTGTCGTTGTTGTCGTTGTCGTAAACTTTTTACATTTTCATCTTCTTCTCAAGAACCACAGGGCCAATTTCAACCAAACTTGCTACAGAGTATCCTTGGGTGAAGGGGATTCAAATTTGTTCAAATGAAGGGCCACGCCCTTTTCCAAGGGGAGATAATTTTGAATTAGAGAAAAAGTATTGGCTTTTTAAAAAAAATCTTCTTCTCAAGACACTGGGCCAGGAAAAATGAAACTCATGTGAAATCATCCTCAGGTAGTGTAGATTCAAATTTGTTCAAATCATGACCCCCGGGGGTAGGGTGGGGCCAAAATGGCCGATCGAAGTTTTACGTAGGAAGTAAAATCTTTAAAAATCTTCTTCTCAAGAACCACTGGGCCAGGAAAGATGAAACTCATGTGGAATCATCCTCATGTAGTGCAGATTCAAGTTTGTTCAAATCATGACCCCCTGGGGTAGGGTGGGGCCAAAATGGCCGATCAACGTTTTACGTAGAAGTATATAGGAAAAATCTTTAAAAATCTTCTTCTCAAGAACCACTGGGCCAGAAAAGATGAAACTCGTGTGGAATCATCCTCAGGTAATGTAGATTCAAGTTTGTTCAAATCATGACCCCCGGGGGTAGGGTGGGGCCAAAATAGCCAATCAAAGTTTTACATAGGAGTACATAGGAAAATCTTAAAAAATCTTCTTCTTAAGAACCACTGGGCCAAGAAAGATGAAACTAACACTGTATGTGGAAATATCCTCAGGTAGTGTAGATTCAAGTTTGTTCAAATCATGACCCCCCCCGGGGGGTAGGGTGGGGCCACAATGGCCAATCAAAATTTTACATATGTGTATATATAGGGAAAATCTTTAAAAATCTTCTTCTCAGGAATAGCAATGCCATGATTGATCATATTTATATGGAAGCATCCTCATGTAGTGTAGATTCAAGTTTGTTCTAATCATGACCCCCGGGGGTAGGGTGGGGCCACAATGGCCGATCAAAATTTTACATAGGAGTATATAGGGAAAATCTTTAAAAATCTTCTTCTCAAGAACCACTGGGTCAGGAAAGATGAAACTTATTGGGAATTATCCTCAGGTAGTGTAGATTCAAGTTTATTCAAATCATGACCCCCGGGGGTAGGGTAGGGCCAAAGTGGCTGATCAGCGTTTTACATTGGAATATATAGGAAAAATCTTTAAAAATCTTTTTCTCAAGAACCATTGAAACAGAAAAGATGAAACTCCTGTGAATTCATCCTCATGTGCTTTTTCCTAGCAGATGTGCTCAGGTGATCGATGTGACCTCTGGACCTCTTGTTTATTTTATTTTACTTTTTTTTTTCTTTTTTACAGTTTAGCAGCAATGGGCTCGTCCTAGGAACTCCAGTCGTATACGATTCCACTGGTAGGTCTTCATCTTAAAATGAATGTACCGGGTATTTAATAGCTTTATGCATGTAAAGTGATTTCCCAATGTAATAGAGATTATAAAATCAATATAAGTAGAAATAATGCCGGTATGAATTAAGAACAATTGATTAGTTATATTACAAAATCAGGGATCCCTAACATGGCTGCATATCCAATCTCGCACCAGAGGGCGCGCTCCGCTTAAAAAATTTCTATGACGTCACCCATTGTTATAAGTCTGCGTATATATTTATTTACCGATTCAACCAGCACTAGTTGGATATTTAAAAGATCCAACTGGCCATCAGTTAGATATTTTAAATATCCAACTGCCTATCAGTTGGATATTTAAATATCCAACTGAGATGCATAAAAAAAAAACAATGAACAAAAGAGATAGAAACAATTTCAAAATGTATTTCCAATGCACATGAAAAAAAATAACAATTACTCCAAATTTGCCACACTATTAGAATTAATTTCCAGTGCACTTGAATTACCGTAATTACGTCGCATTTATCACATTTATCAGGTTTCAAATGCACTTCCAATGCTCACAGAAATAATAATTCCTCCGAATTTTGCTCCTTTTAAGAAATGTTTTCGATATCACATCGCTTTTTGACACTTAAATACATTTTCACCTTGAATCTTAAACTACATCACTTTTTACTGCTGAATATTATTTCAGGGTCTGTTATAATGATAATAATAATAATAATAATAATACTTTATTTAGAGAAGGTGGCCTGATTAGTGTGACACACTATTCTTCCTCAGGGCCTTCTAATTACAACAACAGTATTACATCAAATTAGCAAAGATGAACAAATTAGAAAGTGAATTATAATACACGTACATACACAATGTCACATGATAATAATGATAATCATAATAAAATAGAAATAATAAACAGATATATTTATATGACATAAAAAGTAATACATGTATAATGTCACATGAGTAAGATAGTTCCGAGTAATCAAGTTCTGCTGTTGAAGATTGGCAGAGTTGGCGCATATCTTATATCTATAGGTAAATTGTTCCAAATATGAACACCGGAATATTGAAGTGAATTTTTAAATAAATTTGTTCGGTGTTTTGGTAGGCGAAGGTCAAAATTAGATTCTGAACGTAAAGTATAAGCATTAGAAGTTTGAGAAATAAATAAATCTTGCAAGTAAGCCGGGCTCTGATTGTTAAATATCTTGTACAACAAAATACATTTATGCAAAGTTACTAAGTCAAAAACAGATACTTTTTCAAATAATGCCTTAGAAGGAGCATCAGGGGAAGCATCAAGTATAATTCTAGCAAGCTTATGGATTCTCTCCATGTAACTATGTGGTGCATTACCCCAGATAGTCAGACAATAATTAATGGAAGGCAGGATAAAGGCATTGTAAAAAAGTTTTCTGGTTTTCAAAGGAAGAAATTTCTTGATTTTCCGCAAAGTAAACAATTTATATGTTAAAGATTTGCAGACCGAGTCTACATGATCATGAAAGTTCAGTGTTTGATCTATATGTACCCCAAGTAGTTTTTCTGTTTCAACATTGGTGAGGTGTTTGTCAGAGATATGTAAACTGAGATTTTGATTATCTAATTTTGATTTCCTTTGTTTAGTACCCATCAGCATACATTTTGTTTTATCAACATTTAGAGCCATTTGATTTTCTAAACACCATTTTTCAATATTTACTAAATCAGAATTTAGAGCTGTTTCAATACTAAATATATTATTCTCATAAACATGTAGAGTTGCATCATCAGCAAACATATCGATATTTGAATGACTTACATGTAAGGGAAGGTCATTAATATACAACAAGAACAATAGGGGGCCTAATATTGATCCTTGTGGCACTCCTGCTGTGACAGGTAAGACATCATCAGAAGTTGTACCAATTTTTACACATTGTGTCCTGTTATGCAGAAATGAGTGAAACCATTTAATTGATAATTCATCAAAGTTGTAATTCTTTAATTTTTCTATCAGAATTTCATGACTCACTAAATCAAACGCTTTGCTAAAATCCAAAAATGTTATACCTATTAGATTACCTTCATCCATAGCATGCAACCAAGCATCTGTTAATTTGGTTAGTGCTGTTTGACAAGAGTGGAATTCTCTGAATCCAGATTGAGATTTTGTTATAAGATCAAAAGTGGAGGTGAAATCTCGTATTTGGTTTGCTTTGTGCTTTTTTTTTAGAAAATGTTGGAAGTATAGAAATGGGACGGTAGTTACTGGGGTCTGTTTTGCTTCCCTTTTTATATACAGTAAAGCCCTTCAGATTATCCGAGATTCATTTCTGTTTCATACTTTTCCGGCGTATTTCCTCAAATTACTTAATAAATTGACGGCCAAGCTATTTTTCGACACCGTTTTAATGCAGATCTTGATATGGAATGTTTTTAAAGCAGGTTCCGCATAACACCGCCAATCTCTATATCTGTTTAAGCACTACTACAAGTATTGTCCGAATGGAACTCCATAAGAATCCAACTCTTTCCTCAACAAAACATCATCTTATAATATATAATGACAGATTCCCACCCTTTTATCAAAATTCTGTAGTTTTCATCAGCTGTTCAGGTTTCAGGTCAAAAGTATTCAAAACATTATCTAAACCTCTCTTATTTACTTTTGATTTAAAAATATTCATCGTCTGATTTCAAGACTGTTCAGTACAATGAAAAGGGTTTAAATGACATCAGCACCATGTAGTTTTATGCTCACTAGTCCATGAATAAAAGGGGTGTTCGATTAGGCTATTGTTTTGTGTCACGGTTGGATATTTGAATGGGCTACATCCTATTGTCAATCGGATCATCTCGGGTCTTTCCGTCAGAGGTCAGAAAAACAACCTCGAATGTATTAACATCACCGGATGTTAAAAATTTATACATCTTCCTGTTTATTCAAATATAGGATAGACAGATTTAGAAGTCCCTTCTATAGTATATTCTAAGTAATATCATTACATTGAATATAGTTAAAACCCATATTCCACAGATAAAAGATCTCCATGCATTTATTTCAAAGATCGTGAAAAGGGAGGGTTGTCATGGCGTCTACCATATACATTCGAGGTCGTTTTTCCGCTAGTCGGAAAGGCCCGAGAAGTTGCGATTGATCCTATTGTATTACAGTAAAGTTGGATATTTGAATAGGTGAATGTTTCTGTGGGGCCCAAAGTAGGGAATTTTTTAAAGTAAGATAAATAACTCGATAGCGTTGAATAGTTTAGAGAATACATCCCCTCCTCGGGCCTTCGGCCCTCGGAGAGAATGTTTTCTCTAAACTATTCAACACCATCTCGTTATTTATCCCTTACTTATACACGTTTTGGAGCGGAGAGTAGAACGTCATAGTGCCTGCACCATGTCACTCAGGTTGGCGGAAATGCGGGAAAAGAAAAGAGAGATAGAAGGGCTCCCGAGCCCGATCTCAATTACAATATAAAACACCCAACCAGATGCACTACACATACAAAGGAATTTGATACCAACCTTCTCAACCTAGTGACTTTTTTAAACGTACATGTATAAAGTGAGTAATTGACAAAAAAAAATACATATATATTGATAATTTTTGTGTTATTTATGTTAAAAATAAAAGTGATTTCAACGACACATACGAGGTCAGATTTATACTCAAGTCTTTAACGATATATATGTACTTTTTTAAAAAAAAAAACAAAAAACTTTTTCATTACATGTCTAAGTAATGAATGACTTAAATATATATTTTTCCAAATAACTGTTATAATTGTAATCATTTACATGTATCATTATAGATCTACTTATTGTAAGAACTCTGAATCTTTAGTAAGTGTCTTAACTTGAAATATTTTGTATTAACTTGAAATATTTTGTATTTATCTTGTATATGTATAACTTTACACCTTAAATTGTTATTTTGGCAATCACTAATTTAATTATTGTATATATTACAGGGAGAAGTTGCAAGAACTTGTTACCAATCCCATTGTATAAATTATACAATAAAATATGTTCAAAACAAAACAAAAAACTTAAAAGGCAGTGCGTCATTTTTACTCACACTAATTATATTTACTATTTCTGTTATTAAGGTAGTCCGATCCTCAGGTTTATAAAATTAGCAGTTAAGTAATCAAAAATACTCATAAAAGTATCTCTGAATCCACAAAGTTATGTTAATTTATCCACAGTATTTCTTTAAAGTTAATGATTAAAGTTAATCATATTATATAGGGAAAATTGTCAAATCTCCAATATTTTTGCAGAAAAAGCGAATTGGAATATGAGCAATGCATTTTCTAATTGCAAAGTGATCTACAAATATATTTTAGGTTAAAAAAATGATAGGTATCCAGGCATTCAGAGAAATTGTCATGATTTTTATACTTATTTGGTATTTTTTGTCTTCTATTTCCGTCATGTATTCTATAATACATAGCGTAAAAGGCTTTTGTTATCATTGCAACATGTGCAAGACATCACAAATCACTTCTCATTTCATATCATGCTAATAAGCATTGATATCTATGGCTGGATTCAAGAAAATCTTATTTCTCTAAAACTGTATTAATTTTTTCTCCTTTTATAGGGTACAAATGTCAACTTTTATAGGACCTTTTCTAAAACTTCCTTATCCTTCCTGGCTGAGGATCGGATATCCTTAATAGTTATTATAATAACAGTCTTATTATAGAAGAAAAAGATATCACAATAATATTCAAGGAAATTATAAATACCTCGGTGCAGATAAAAATTCTGCGAAAAACATATAAGGGAGTTCTCAATAAAAGAAACTGTTTCATTAATAACAGATCGAGGGTCAATTTTTGGTGTGAACTGTAAATGGAGGATTTATATAAAAGTCCAAATTTTCTTTAAAAAGTAAACGAAATTTTCTTTGAACCCCTCTTCACTCAACTATAGCGCACACACGTACAAAATAACCAAGTACATTTGTATTGCTTTTTATACAGGTGGATTCGTTTTTTACCAGGAAGGCCGGGTTCCAAATTTCTGGACTCGATATAACATCAAGGATAACGGAGCTGTAGACAATCTTGGCTCAATGTTCAGAACGGGGGCATATTTAGGTAAAGAATAAAATTACTCATTTTGGACTTAATCTGCGTCCAATAGAGATAAATTCTTTATGACACTGTTTGCGCAAAAAATGTTTGAGAGAAGAGACGGGAGAAACTAATAAAAAATCAATCTAAATAAAATTAGATGTTCCGAATCCGCTACAGCTTCTCAAAGCGGTTTGAGAAGCGGTAGCGGATTCGGAACATTTTATTTTAATTAGATTGATAAACAATGGATTTCTTTTCTGATTAACCATATATCATCTTTCCATAACTGGGGTGATATGAATTTTTTAAGGAATACAATGTAACTTTCAATTTTTTTGGTTTCATGATGTGATCAATCGATTTGCTTGCGTGATAATTTGCATAAACGCCGAAGTAAGATCAAACAGTTGTTCAACTGCATTGATTATTTTATTCTGAAATTTTCAAAATGCAAATGACTTTTGACCATGAAAACAAAATAATTTTAGAATAAGAAATATTATTGTATTCCATTTATTGTATTTTACCCTGCCCAGAGAAATATTGTTTTGTACTTGTATTGCTAGACATTAACTACAACCTCTCCCTTTAAATTACAGGTTACTCTACCGGGGCCGGAATATTTGGAACTGCCACCAGTCCCTCGGCCCCTCAGATAGCCCTGGGGGCCCCGGGATTTGCCAACAATGAGGGGACTATAGGAGCTGTAAGTTACCGCAGTTATAAAGGATCAATTTCTAAGAGTTTTTGACTGTTGTATACTGGTATATTTCTTGTCGTTCTCATCCCGTACGAAATGTTATGGATGGTTAGACGAAGGTAAGGAACGGAACCTTTATGGGTTTATGTACGAGTTGAATGGACACATTAAGGCATCGAACCTTTAACGGGTTTGTGAAAAGCTGTATTGGTTCCACGTATGAAAGACATGGACATAAAATCTAATTCTGAAAGTGGGGTATTCTTGTCGCTTGGATGTGAATTACCGTCTGCAGGCACGGAATCCGTGTCTCAGAAAGACGGCTTCCAACTGCTAAGAGTTTAATAGTTTTGAATGATTATGGGATGGTTTTTGCTTCAAACAATTAAATTTAAATCCACAGGCGCTTGATGTGTTTAAATCTCCGGATCTTGTACAGAGCATGCTCTTTCATGAACGTTCTTTGCAGGTCCAGTCCAAAGACTATTTCTACCTACGTAGCTATTAATAGCTACGTAGGTATTTAAACCTATCCAAAGTAGCTATTTTTACCTACTTTATGCTTTACTTGAATTTTGTGGCCAAACAGCCAAACGGCGCAATATGTTGAGTACCAAATTTCTTGATACAGTTACACTGATAATGTTTATGACAAAAAAATTGGGAAAAAATGATTACTTCATAAATTAACAATTCTGCATAGAAACTAATGTAAAATTAAAGATTTAGGAAGTAATCGTTTTTTTGGCCAAAATTTTGTCGTATTCATCATTATTGTAACTATATCAAAATATATTGTATTCTCCAATTAATGCGCCGTTCGGTATTTTGGCCACAAAATGCAGATTATAAAAAAGTAGGTAAAAATAGCTACTTTGAGTAGGTTTAAATACTTAATAGCTACGTAGATAGAAATAGTCTTTGAAATGGACCTGCTTTGTTCAAATTAAATTTCATGATCTTGTGGTAGCTTGTGTCCTTTTTTGTGTGTCATTTCCAAGCCTTTCGGATTGTTTCGTACGCGTACTTACATATTATACATAATGTGTGTATAGCAAGTATACATGTAGCATATATATTTATACTTCAAAGCGTGCGATTGTAAATGTTACTTACTGTGCGTCCGGAAAACCTCTAGCCTTTCAGAGAAAGAAGAAGGTATGGTTTTAGCTTTATTGCGCCCTAAAAATGTAATGACCTTCAAAAGATTTGAAACTGGCTTAGATATTAGTTAAATAAATGACTGATCTGATAAATCAGGAAAGAATATGGCATGAAGGTTTACCATTCTGAAAATATGACGTCATTACTGTGAAGTATTTCTCTATTTTCAACAAAAAAAGCCTCAAAATGGCACATTTCAAGGGTGATTTTCCTTTAGAAAACAGTGTCCACAGCCGTCGCCCACGTTAATTTTTTGATATTTTGTGAAAAATTCAATAACAAATCACATATCTCAAGATCTTTGTGGGCGATGCCTGTGGACAATGTTATCTGAAAGAAAATTCCATTGAAAATTTGTGTTTTCTGCAACTTTTTAAGAAAAGATGGGAAAATGCACATGTTTATGACGTCATAATTAGCATTTCAAAACACAAGTGAGAAGAATGACTTGTATGATTTTTCTGCATTGAATTTCAATTATTTAAAAAGCATGAGTTTTCAACTTTTACACCAGTTTCATTTTTTAGAAAATCACAGGGCAAAATTTGTATGGAAACCATACCTTCTTTCTGTGAAAGGCCAAAGGTGTTCCTGTTGACTTACTCCGAAATCATTTCATTAAAACATTACAAAATTCAACAGCCACCGACAAAATAAAACGTTAACCGTTTTCTCTGTGAGCATGTTACATTGTACATGTATACGAATATTATAATTTTGTTACATGCGTATCTTTCAGAATTTCGTGTAAAATCTTTTGCTTTTTATGAGTTGAGCAAAGTCATTTTTGACCAAAATATGAAGAAACCGCAATAATTTTGACAAAAAAGTATACATGTTTATATATTTATCTAGAATATGTTTTCTTAGATGGGAATTTTCGAGATAGATGGCACTAATCTACGCATGAGAAAATTGTTAAATGGAAAAACGGTAGGTACAAGCTATGTAAACAATATTGAACATAAAAATATTTCTTTCTCAATTAAAACGAATATTTGCACTGTCAAATGTTGTATACTTATAGCAGTGTTTATTAGGTACAAATATTTGCAACGAATAATTTGCATGCCAAATATTTAAAAAAAAACAACTCATATTACATATAAAAGCACATTATAGGTCGATACCGATTTTAAGTCGATTATTATCTGTGTATAGGTCGGTAGTGGATTCGGTCAGTCAATGATTATAGCTGACTTTAACGGCGATAACAGAGATGACATCGCCGTGGGGTCACCGATGGAGGGAGAAAATGACATGAACGATGTGGATGTCGGGGCTGTGTATGTTTACTATGGGACCGGAAGCGACTCGGTAGGAGTGTTCGATTTAGTTTCTCATGTCTAAAAATACATATTACATTCCTTTAAGAACATGACCGGTAACTGTTCATTTATAACCTGTTTGTTTGACAAATTAATTTAAAACTCTTTAAGCATAAGGGTAAAACATCGACTGTGCTAATGATATGCTTTACAAATCGTCTTAAGTGCAACAAAAATATTCTGTTATCTATCTGTGAAATTAAATTATTTCTAAGTTGTCATGATAAAACAAGAAGCATCTCAAGTAAAAAAAAAAATTTGCGTGGAGGTGGGAAGATCCATTAAAATTTGTTTTCATTATATATTTTTACACCAATGGTTTTGATGGAGTAAATAATATTTTTATTTGTTTAAGACGCGTATTGACAACGAACAACGTCTGCGTGGGTCTGGGGCGGTGTCAGCCCGATTCGGCTACAGTGTGGCAAATCCGGGGGACCTAAACAAAGACGGATTTAATGGTAAATTCATTGATGCTAATATATTTATGAATACAGGAAGCGAACTGCACTATTGAGTCAAGTTGAAATCAAAATTCGGATGTTTGGATGATGTAATAATGTTTAGAGAAAAAACAAATGAGATCGGGAATACGACCGTATTTTTGTCCATGGTTAATGAAAAGCTTTATTTATTTCAAAAGATTATATCAAACATTATACATTTATAATGTTATATTTTATTATTCAGATAAAAGAGGTTTAGAAGGCTTTTTAACATTACGGAAATGGATGCAAAGTTCATAAATTTTATTTTTTTTTAAATACAAAAGTGAACCGATCTTAAGCCTAGTTACCTTTCTTAGTATGTAAAAAGGAACCAGCTTCATGTACATATATCCATCTTGTAATTGCTTTTGCATTATCTGAAGACTTTTTACTAAAAAGATCAATGTTTTATAACAAAGCTTATTTGAATAACTGTAAACTAATGAATCAATTAATGCAGAGGACTTCCTTCTTACAGATGTAGTTGTGGGGGTGCCTTATAACTGTAAACTAATGAATCAATAGAGAGGACTTCCTTTTTACAGATTTAGTTGTGGGGGCTCCTTATGAGGACGACAACAAAGGTGCTATTTATATCTTTAATGGGGGATCTCCCCAGATCGAGGCTACATATTCGCAGCAAATCTTGGCGTCCAAACTTCACACCGATCTGCGAGGATTTGGATTTTCCCTCAGCAAACACACAATTGATGTGGATTCCAATACATATCTAGGTAAATCACACCATTTTTTGCAAAACCTCAATTTCCCAGATGAATATTTGGTATTGGAAAGAATTTGCACGAATACTGTTTTTGGTGTATATACTCGTAGTTCTTTAACCCCCTTCCCTACAGTCACGCATTTTAACGCCTATACCATTTCCCATTTCTAACGCAAAATCACACATTTACCGTTTCCCCGCAATCACGCATTTTCACGCACTTTTATTCTAAAAATACACGCCAGAAATATTGCATTTGACAAAAACTCTAAACAATAGGTACAATCCATGTATAAAACCTCATAAAACTGAAATTACTGTGAAAAAATTAATCGGTTCTTTCTTTCTCTTTTATGAAAGTCCCGCGATAATATATATTACATTCAACCAGCCATTGATATACGAGGGGTGATCAAAAAGTTCGCGAACTATCTCTATATCTACAAAACCAAAATTCAGATAAGAATGAAATTTGGTACATACATAACTATACACAAGTTCTATAAATAGCATATGCTGAATAATGTTTTTCTCCTTGTTTGTGACGTCACAATGTGAAAATGACGTCACCATGTAGGTCACTTGTGACGAAAAATGGTTGTCACAGTCGTACTCATTCGACAAACGACTGTACAATTTATTGTATATCTTAGAAACCCCTTTGCCGTAGCATGAAATAATTTTTACACAGTTTATCAAGACAAATGACTTCCTATAAATTCAATCAATGATTGGATTGATCGTTTTAGTGAAGGAATTCAGATGGTTAAAATGATACTTGCCATGTTGCCCAGTGAAAGCAAGTTTGAAAAGATATATGTTTTTAATGAAGCAATTTGCTATCAAAGACCTCCAATTTACAATTTAAAAAATAGTTGAATATTTGAACAATAAAATAATTATGAAATACCTAAGATATCGTTTACTTTAGATTTTAGACATATTAGATATGATAAAAAGGAGGCACCAATTCTCTATCCACCTTCAATAAACGTCTCTCCCGAGACAGTAGATTTGAGTATTAATGGTCGCCCTGCTCATTTTTGGAAAGGATATTCTTATCCACCCATTCTGTTGCCAAGATGTGACCATTTCTGACAATTGAACTGTTTTATAAAAACTAACTTACATGGAAAGAAATATAAAACTCAGCAAAATCTTTCAGATTTTGTGACAGAACGCTGCGGAGGGGGTCACGTGATATCATGTGATTCGCGCATGCGCAGAACGGTGGCTGATGTGCATTAAAATTGGAGAGGACTAATTTAACATTTTATAAACACTAAAACCAAATACTGTTTCTTTTATGGAAGTTATTCAATTAGTTTGCGAACTTTTTGATCTCCCCTCGTATAATGCAAAGTACCAAATCTTATATAAAGAATAAATGGATAGACCGATTTACAAACAAACCTAATTGCTACCATTGGCTTGCACTTTCATATGTTTTACGTAAAATAATTCAAGTTAATTAACATAATTGTCAATTAAATAATACATGTATTTATAATGTATAAAAAGGGTTTTTAAGCATATATCTAAATGTGTCTTTTCTTTTGTGTTAAGATATTTCTGTTGGATCCCTCCTTTCTTCCAATGCCGTTGTTTTCCGAACACGGTCTATCGCGACCATCAATGCAGCCATGACATTGAATCCAGCGAAGATGCCCCTGAACTCCACAGGACTTGCATGCAGAGGCACTAACGACAACCCATGCACGACAGTTCAGATTTGTTTTAGATACACTGGGGACGGACTAAATAACGGAATTTGTAAGTTTGAGTTCCTTTTATTGAGAGAGAAACAATAAGGTACAGGGAAAATACTACAGAAATAACATGAAATGTAATTTTTTTTTGTTTTCGAAAATTTATAAATGAAGTATATAGAGATAACAAACAGTATTCAAGCTAAAAAGTCCATGAAACAAGAAAATTCGGAGCAGAGCAATCACTGACCTCCAAAACATCTGATGTTGGATTAGGTACAATTGAGAAGTGAACATTCCCTACCAACCAGTAACGCCCACCGTGTTTCCCTTGTCATGGTCGAGAATTGATGGAAATTTCGTCGACAATTCAGTTTGTAATTAATGATCTAACAATTAGTATGAAAAACATCATTCAGCATTTGACTTAAATTACATTTGCTGAGGAGGTCATTGTATCGAACATAAAACTTACGAGACGATGCCTTCAAACGAGACTGCCGACATTCTTGTTTCATCAACTCGCCTGTCAATAACCTAACTCATTTTAATAATTGTTCATACGTAGAGCATGATCTTGCAAGAGATTTAATATCTGAATGGCTATGCCAAGTTTCACATGTTTTTCTTTTTTTTTAAGGAAAATTTTGCAAATGCAAAAACCGCAATTAAAATTTTGTGGCTAACAGAAAATTGGAATCAACCAAGATGATTTTTAATATTTAAGTGACCTATCTGCTTAAATTCAGCAAAAGAAGGAATTTTTTCAACCATGTTTCAATGTTTTTTGTTCCATGCTTTATTTGGATTTTTTAGCCTAGTATTTCCAGAAACAATCAAACAAACAAAAAAATCTTTAAAAACCTAAAGAAAAAAATCGTCAGTAAAAAGTTTGTTGGTTGAGCAGCTGCTCTGTATAGGTCGATTTCAAATTTGTGCTAGCGTGGGCACATGAGAAAAATCTTACTTTAAATATAAAAGTACAAGAAGCAGTTATGAATTTAACTCAGTGATATATAATACAGGACACAGTTTTGTGCAATATTGGTTCCTTTCTCTAGACATCGACTATACAGTGACGTCAGATTCAGATGAAGCCGACCTTAACAATCGGCGCTTCACATTTTACATGAACAATGTGAGTGGCGGGAAAATTTACAGAAAACTGGAACTATTCATCGGCAGTGGTGTCAATCAGTGTGAAACTCTTCATGCAAGGGCAGATGTAAGAAAACCAACTTTTTAATGCTGTACTATAGATGATTACTGTGAAATCACTTCTATCGTGGTTTTAATTTTCGTTGTTTTCGAGGTATGAGGAGATTTATGAATTTATGTCATCCATGAAATGTCAAATTTCCATTATAAGTCTATACAGCAACAATTCTGCATCCATGAAGTCAAAGATTTACAAAAACATGATTTTCCTTGATCATTGAAATTTTGACCCCACAAATAATATGATTTCACAATATGTCATATAACATAATGTTATTTGCCTTTTTTTTTCGCGTACATCAAAAGTCTGTACCATTTAATCAGTTTATTACCTCTACTAACAGAAGAAATGCATGATAGTGACTTTTTTTTTTTTTTTTTTTTTTTTTTTTTACATCAAAACGATTCTGTATTAGATATATGGAAAGCCGAAGGTAACCCCCACATTATTATTATTTTTTCCTATATAATTATATCAAAAATAATTATGTCATCCAAACTTACTTTTTACAACATTATTATTATTTTCCTGCAACAATTATAATCTTGTCTGTTAAATGTGTACACATTATTATTATTTTGTCCTACAATTATAATGATTGAATTTCACTTCACAATAATAATCTTGCCAGTCAATATGTAGACACATTCTTATAATTTTTCGCCTCATGATTACAATCTTGTCAGTCGATGTTTAAATGTGTACACATTATTATTATTTTGTCCTACAATTATAATGATCCAAACTTTACAATAATAATCTTGCCAGTCAGTATGTAGACACATTATTATAATTTTTCGCCTCATGATTATAATCTTATAAGTCGATGTTTATAAACATTATTTTTATTTCACCTCAAAATTATAATAATTATTCTTACTTAACAATTATAATCTTGTTTGCCCATGCGAACATATTATTTTTATTTCGTTTCAAATTTATAACAGTTATATTCCACATCGATCATACAATTATAATCTGTGTTACTCCAACAATAATAATCGCGACCAAAAAAGTTGCAACATTATTATTTAGACGCTTGAAATCAAACGTTTGTATGATTTTGATGTACAGCACAATTATAATCTTGACTTCAATTTTGGGAAAGATTATTATTTGGACGCTTGAAAAGAGCAAACGTTTGTCTGCCGAAGATAATCACGTGGTTTAAGGCCATGTGCTTCCCTATCAACAGTGCCGAGTGCGGCCAGTGAAAGGCAGGCGGTTTGCCGGTAAGTAAAGATGATTTTGTTATATTAATGTACAAGTAAGTGAATTCCATTCATTCGATAAAGGAAATGTCTCAGAAATCAGCTGTCAGTATGCTGTTATTGAACGACAGCTTCGGAAGAAACTAGTTCGAATCATCTCTGTACTTTTGTATCTAGGAGATTGAGATTGCATCAATGCATGCCATTGCGTTGTGAATTTATATTCCATATGTAGATTAAGAGGCGTTAAATGAAATGATTTTGCTAACAGATATTTTTTTAGTTTACTATAATAGCTTGTATATACTTTACAGTTTTAACTTGAATTTTCACCGAAGTAAATTATTTACATTGAGATCTATTGTTATTTACATTGAGACTTGGGTCAGTTGAGTCGCCCGTATTAGACTGCCTGCTCTAAAGTAAAGTTAGGAGTTGATCCTTATGTCGTGGGTTCGAATCCCAATGTGGGACATGGAGACGAGTCCTTCATATAACATGTATAACATAAGATATATTATACCCGAATGTTTTGATGGATGAAAACATTTTTATATGAAAAAACTTATGTTGCAGATTATGCATAAGTTGAGGAAAGGAGCTGCTGTGGGATGGTACAATCAGGTAAGACAGCCTTTTTTTTATATAAAGGGGTATACATGCAATTTATGTGAAATCATAAATTTTCTGGGGTTTAATTTTCGTTGTTTTCACCCGTGGAGAGAACAAATTCATGTCCAATAAATGTAAGGTGTTACATATACCAACTATCAAGATATTCTTCATCCAAAAATCAAATCCCCAGGAACCATTCAGATTTTATATCAAACCACAAAAGTATGAAACACGAAAATACCGTATAATAATTGCCGCCCCTCTATATAAGGCCCCCTTGTCTTTTTCAATTGCCAGGAAATAAATTGTACAGTGATTAGAATTATAGAATTTCAAAGATGTGAAGAAAGTAAAAATGAAACATGTTTTTTATCCAATTTCTCGCTTGAAAATGAATAATTTGCATAATTTGGGTGACATTAACAACTAAGTAAAGTTAGACAATCATTTTAGTGGTTCCTTGTATCTTATATTTTTTTCAAAAGATTTTTTGAAGTAAATATTTTTATAAATATTACAAACATTTTTATATGAAATTAAACTTATTTGCAATTATTCTAAGTTGCCCAGGGCGGAATAGGGATTATACGGTATGTGATTTTACAGTAAAAGTTCACCCTGGGTCAATCTAGAACAGTTAAATGTTTTTCATCATATTACACTAACATCTAACAATATCCCACTGAGGGTCACGTCTGAGGTCCAATTCGGAACAACTATAGACTTATTCGCTTCAACAAATATACGATGATTTTGCAGGCTACAATTTGATTGGATGATAGAATCTGACCTCTGACGTGACCCTCTGTGGGATGTTGTTACTAGATGTTAGTATGTGAGCAGATCTAACATCTAATTTTAATTAGATTGCCTCTAGGTGTTTTTTAAAGTCACAGCATTTAGGAGTTAGATAATAGATTCTAAATATGAGAATCTCTACATTTTTTATGCAATCATCAGTCACCATGAGAAATACAAATTAATATGCTCTAGTTTTTAAAGAATTATTTGCACATTTAATTTCAGGAGCAACAAAGAGTCTTGCTTTGTAAAGGCATGCAGGTTTTAAAGAAAGAAAACTGTGTTGTATAGGAAGAAGATTTTCCACTCAAATAATTGTGGATGACACAAAGGTAAAGAGGATATTAATGCTTAGAAAGAATTAAGAAATTATTTAACACAGAGGCAGATTTTTTGTTGCAGTTTGAAAACGCTATTCAAAATGTTCACCGTATAAAATTTTATAAAAATATGTTAGATAATTTCTTTAAAATTTAAAGCTTAACACAAATTTGAGAGAGGTCAAGATAAAAAATGTTCATGCAACTGAATAGCTCTTATCAATGTTTATAGTTTAAGCATATGAAGATTAATCAAAGTCTCTTGAATAGTTTCTTTAAAACTAAGCTTTACTCACTAATTTAAAGAAAGGTCAAGGTCAAAGGAAAGGTCAAGTAAAATAATGATTATGAAGTTGAATAGATCCCATCAATATGTATCTGCACAAATATAAGGTTTGATTAAAAATATCTGGAACAACTCTTGATACAGAACTTAACATAAATTTAAGAAAATTGAGGTCAAGGTCAGAGATGTTCATGCAGTAGAGTAACTCTTATTAATAATATATGTGTATCAGCATATGGAGTAAAAAGTGTGATGGAAGGACAGTAGGGTATGTTATTAAGTTTTTGTCGCATATCTGCGGTGATTTTCTTTGATCTTTCTGTGGTGATATATCCTGTATCACATATGCGATAATACTTTCCACGCCCCTTCATATATCACTGCAGGAGGCAGAAATTGGGTCATGAGAAAAGAACTGATTTTATTTCACAAGTTCATAACTACAGAAAAATGAACATGTTAAGCTATTTCTTAGCCTTTAACTAAATTAAAATACATGTATTTAACTCAGTTGAATGTTCCCAGTCGTTCAAAAGATTAATCCATTTTGAAATTTTGAAAGTTACAGTAAAATCTCCAAACTTTATATCGTTAAACTACTTGATATTTGCTTCTGTGATTTCATATTTGTAGAGTGCCTGGCTCAAAGATAAATTGTCAAAATCTTCAAACTCAGTTAAAAAGTCAAAGTCAAATTCACTAAGAACGTCCAACATGTTGGAGAGCTAGCTTAAAATGAATCTTAAGTTCATGACAGCTGAATATTTTTAGGTCACCTGAGTAAACTCAGGTGACCTATTGCTATCTGTTTTCGTCCGTCGTCGTGCGTCGTGTGTTGTGTGTTGTGTGTTGTGTGTCGTGCGTTAACATTTGGACATTTTCATCTTCTTCTCTGCAGCCACTGAACCAATTTCAACCAAATTTGGTACAAAGCATCTATGGGTGAAGGGGAACAAAAATAGTGAATTTCATGGTCCCTGCCCCCCTGGGGCCTGGGGGGTGGGGCAAAAACCAATAAAATTAATGCAATCTTTAAAAATCTTCTTCTTTACTCCTGGACACCAAGCAGTCAAACTGTTTGCATGATTGTAATCAGCATTGAGTCCTCTACCAAAATTGTGAAATTCATGGCCCCTGGGTCAGGGGTTCTAGTGCTAGGGCGGGGCTAAATAAGTATAAAGTGAAAATGCATTATTTCTTTTAAAATCTTCTTCTCTGCTACTGGGTATTAAATAAGCTAACTAAGTGCATAGTTATGATGAACAAGAGTGCTTCTACCAAAATTGTGAATTTTATGGCCCCAGGGTCAGGGGTTCTGGTGTTAGGGTGGGGCTCTATAGATTATATAGTGAAAATACATGAATTCTTTAAAAATTTTCTTCTCTGCTCCTGGGTATTAAATAAACTAACTAAGTGCATAGTTATGTTGAGCAAGAGTGCTTCTACCAAAATTGTGAATTTTATGGCCCCAGGGTCAGGGGTTCTGGTGTAAGGGTGGGGCTCTATAGATTATATGGTAAAAATACAGGAATTCTTTGAAAATCTTCTTCTCTGCTCCTGGGTATTAAATAGCTATCTAAGTGCATAGTGGTGATGAGCAAGAGTGCCTCTACCAAAATTGTGAATTTTATGGCCCCACTGGGATAGGGGTTCTGGTGTTAGGTTGGGGCTCTATTGATTATAGATAGAGAAAAATACATGAATTCTTTGAAAATCTTCTTCTCTGCTCCTGGGTATTAAATAAGCTATCTAAGTGCATAGTTATGATGAGCA